TTTTTTGAGATGGAGTTTCCCTGTGTTGCCCAGGCTGGAGTGGGCTATTCTCAGGTGCAATAATAGTACATTGCAGGCCAACTCCTGGCCTCAAGCGATCCTGCTGGGCAGCTAGGTCTATGTGCTAATGTCACCACACCCAGCTCACTGATGGCTATTTTGAGAGACAGTCTAACATAATGATTAAGTGCACAAGCATTGGTAGCTTGGGTTCAGTTTCCCAGCTTTGCTTCTTAATAGCTTTGTGATCTTGGGCAAATTACATAAGCCTTTTTCTTTGTATGTTAAATGGGGTTGAAAATAATAGCTGCCTTTTAGGGCCATTGTGAGGATTGAACGAGTTGACACTTGTAAGGAACTTAGAATAGTTTTTTTGTTTTTTTGGGGTTTTTTTAGACAGTCTTGCGCTGTTGCGCAGGTAGAGTGCTGGGGCATCAGTCTAGCTCACAGCAACCTCTAACTTCTAGGCTCAAGCAATCCTCCTGCCTCAGCTTTCCAAGTAGCTGGGACTCACCACCACGCCTAGCTAATTTTTTGTTTCTATTTTTTCAGTTGCCTGGCTTAGTCTTTCTATTTTTAGTAAAGACCAGGTCTCACTCTTGCTGAGACTGGTCTTCAACTTCTGACCCCAAGTGATCCTCCTGCCTCAGTGCCTGCCCTTAGAATAGTTCTTTATAGATGAAAGGACAGTGGGTCTTGTGAGCAAAATAAATCAGCTCTGCTCCTTCTCCATCTAGGTAACAGGTGCCCTGCTGAACTCTGACCATCTCAAAGGAGCCTAGCAGACAAAAGGAAAAGTAAATTTTTTTACAGTGCTAGACCTATTGAGTAAAACTGCCTTTTAGCATATGTTTCTACAGCCTGGAGCAATTCCTGAAAAGTTCCTGGATGACAGCGTGGGGGACAATCTCCAGACATCAGACCCAACCCAAAATCATATCCTGACGCCATGGTCCCTTTATCCTTAAAACAAAGGGAAGGAATGCAGCAGTTTCACACAGCAGATTCCATTATCTGCTTGGAGTTAAGAAGAGAAGGAGGGTATACAGCAATTCACAACAATTAACTATTTTTCTTTTGATCTCCATAAAAGCAGCAAGCCAGTTGGCCTAGCTGCTGACATCTCCCTTCTCTTTCTTTGGGATGCTACACCATCTCTCTGCTCTCCCCCTCTCCCACCCTTTTCCTCTCTCTCTCTCTCATTCTGTCTTTCTAAAAGATAAATTTTACTTTTATATCTTAATTCCTGCATGAGAAATCTTTCTCCACCCACACCCTAAGCACCTGCTAAGCCTTTCCACCCTAACAATAGAATATCAAGGTTAGGAGGGTAGTCTTGGCGGCAGATTAGCAGCATGGTTAGTGAGAGTATTTACTTTATAGTTCCTGACACGGTATAAGAGCTATAAAAGTATCAATATTTGTTTTTCTGTACAGAATCTGAGAAATTATATTTCAGTACTTTTTAAAATTTCTTGCACAATCTCAGATCTCAGCCCCAACCCTTCTTTTGTGGCATACAGCATCATATGTAATATTTCTTATATGATGAAATATAAATAAAAAAATGTGTGGTGGTTCATGCCTATACTCCCAGCGACTTGGGAGGCTGAGGCAGGAGCATCGCTTGAGCCCAAGAATTAAAGGCTGCATTGAGCTATGATCTGCCACTATACTCCAGCCTAGGCAACAGAGCAAGACTCAGTCTAAATAAATGAATATGTGTGTATGTACACACTAACATACATATATACATACCAGTATTGAACTACTATAAATAAAGTCTTCAGTGGGAAATCCCATTCTGAAGTGTGCATAGGAGCAAAAATATGGTTGTTCCTGATTCATTGTCATCTTTAGTTTCAAGAGTATTTTCTTTTACCAAAAAACACAACCCCTTTTAAGGCCATTTTGAGCCCTTTAAAAATAATGCATTTTTTACCCAGGACCAATGGTTCTCAACCTGGAGAGATTTTGCCCCCCAGACACATTTGGCACCGTGTAGATACATTTTTGGTTGTTATAACACTGGAGAGCGGGCATGGGGAGGATAGGATGTGCATGCTGCTGGCATCTAATGGGTAAAGGCTATCCTGTGTAAATATACTGCATAGGACAGCTCACACAACAAAGCATTATCCCTCTCCAAATGTCAATAGACCTGAGGTCGAGAAAACCCTGCTCTGGACTAAAAAGGGGTTGATGACTTCCCCAATATCACATCTATTATATTAACTTAATAAGAGGGCCTGAACTTCAGACGTGGAGGTAGCATCTCAGTTCAGCATCCCTTAACTAGAACAACTTATGAAAATTTTTAGAGAACTGATAGTCAATATTGCTTATTTTTCTTTTTTTGTTTAGGGCTTGTGAAACAGGATCTGACAATCAACCTCTTAGTGATAATCAACAAACAAATTGTGAATATTTTGTTGACAGCCTTTTTGAGGAAGCTCAGAAGGTTGGTGCCAAATGTTTGTCCACTACTGAACAGAAGAAACAGGTAAATATTTGTCCCTTACATTTTTTCTCTTCCAGAATTTCTCAAAATATATAGGACTTTTAGAAGGTCCCTAAGGTCAAAACTATTTTCATAATAGTAAGATATTATTAACCTTTTTCACTGTATTCACTTTGCACTGATATTGCAAAAGCAGTGATGGGTAAAACTTTAGTAGGAATGACACCTTAGCAGGAATCAAGGCAGTGACAACAAACTGTACTAGTGATTACAGGTTGATTATAGGTTGAGCATCCCAAACCCTAAAATGTTCCAAAATATAAAACTTTTTGAGCACTGATGTGATGCACAAAGGAGATACTCATT